GTAATTTTTTACAATTTTTTTTAAAAATAATCTAAAAAAATTATTAAACATATATATTTAAAAATATTATATGATTACACGAAAAAATTTCCAATTGTAATCCTAAATGCACTCTTAAATTGTACAACGGTAAAACATTTATAATTAGATAGCAGACGAGTGGGTTGCTCTTTATATAATATTTTTTTATAATTCAGTACAGTTTGTTTATGAAATTTAAATACTTTAAAATTTTTAATAAATAAAATTCTTTACCTCTTTTTTATTATTTACAATGCAAAAAATGAGGTCATTGATTAGGTAAGGTTGTTGCCACATTTAGGAGTCCCCACCTGTTAAAATTGTATGAATTATATCAGCAATTATATATATATTTTTTAAAATTTAAAATGTTAAAGTGCCTTTGAATTGCATTTAGATTTTATGAGTCGATGATTATGAAGCTGAAGTACGAATTCTCTTTCACCAAATTATAATTCGTTAAAAAAAACATTTTTAAATTAATTTTTATGTTAAAAAAACTTATGAACTTAATAATTCAATAGTTTAATGTAAATTTTTTTATCATAATAAAAGTTCAATACCTCTCTTCACTTCCTCTTAAATCACTTGCCCTAATAAAAAAAAATATTTTTGTGCTTAAAAAATTACCCTTATGAATAATTTTAAGAGAAAATTAGTGCGTTCTAAGAATTTTCCTAGGTAGGTGACTGGTCAAATAGACAAATAGCTCGCACACAAGGGCAACTGGCCAAATATCTCACTTCGTAAATCATAAAGAAGAAATAAAGAGGAAAAATAAAAGGGGAAAAAGATGGAAGAGAGCTCCATCATTCTTGCACATTGATGGTGGTGATGGTGACGGTGACACCTCATTAGACCATTTTGGATAATCCTCATCCGGATCCGTACCCGGTTTCTCCGCCACGGTGGAGGACAGAAACCGACGCCAACTCCACTTCCATTTCAACTGCAATCCCCTCCGGCCTCCACCAAAAGGGAAAGAAATCCCAAATCTCTTTTCCTCACGCCCTTTCCTTTTCCTCTCTATTATAACTTCCACACAAGATCCATTCCTCCGGAGGAGAAAAGAAATGGCCGAAAAGCACGAGGACGAGTGGAGTGGGAGCGAGGGCGGCGATTTCACGTCCGAGGACGAGGGGACGGAGGATTACAGGCGTGGTGGATACCACGCTGTCAGAATCGGTGACGCCTTCAAGGACGGTCGTTACGTCGTCCAAAGTAAGCTCGGTTGGGGCCATTTCTCCACCGTTTGGCTCGCTTGGGATACTCAGCTCTTGGTACGCTCCGTTTAAAAAATCTCTCTGTCACTATAAGTGTGTGTTTGCTTTGCCTTTCGATTGATCTTGTCGGTTCAATGCGGTTGAGGTTTGATTGTGTTGTTCAATTGAGCAAATCTCCGCCGCTTTCGATCCATATCTGTTATCTTTTTTAAATCGGTGCTGAGTTATTGCTGCAAAAATGGGAGGATAATGGAAGTTATGAAGAGAGTTCCTTGTTTTCTGTCAATTTTGTCAATTCTGTCAATTCGTGTTATTTCGGAAAGTTTGTGCAGAGTCTTAGTTATTTTGAGTTAAAACTAATTTGAATTAAGGATTCATCCATGGTAGTTGATCTCATTTTCATAGTTCTTTTGTACACAATATAGAAGAAAAGCTGTAAAATTATTAACTTTTTTGCCTGTAAATTCAGCATTTCTTTTAAATTTTGTTTCTTTGTAAATTGAGTTTTAGCACCTGCACTCTGCAGCGATATGTGGCTCTAAAAGTACAGAAAAGTGCTCAGCACTACACTGAGGCAGCCATGGATGAGATAACCATCTTGCAACAGGTTGCAGAAGGAGATCCAGATGATAAAAAATGTGTGGTGAAGCTTTTAGATCATTTTAAGCATTCAGGTCCAAACGGGCAGCATGTTTGTATGGTTTTTGAGTACTTGGGTGATAATCTTTTGACGCTTATCAAGTACAGTGATTACCGTGGCCTGCCCATTCATATGGTCAGGGAGATCTGTGTCCGTATTTTGGTGGGTTTAGATTATTTGCACAGAGAGCTTTCTATTATACACACTGATTTAAAACCAGAGAATATTTTGCTATTATCAATGATAGACCCATCTAAGGATCCAAGGAAGTCGGGTGCTCCTCTCATCCTTCCCAGTGGTAGGGATAAAACTGCACTGGAGTCAACAAAAGACATTAAAACATTAAATGGTGATTTGACTAGAAATCAGAAGAAGAAGATTCGGAGAAAGGCTAAGCAAGCAGCTCAGGGATATATGGAGAAAGAAGTTTCTGCTGAAGCTGATGCAGATGCTGAAACATCAGGTGCAGCAGAATCATCTCTCAATGGTAATGTTGAAGAACATCCACCTACTTCTGTCAATACAAATAGATTAACCAATGCTGATGGATCTAAAGGTGATGGGCAAGTAAGTCATGGTAATAAGAGAGAAAGTAGCCACTTGACAAGGCGTAAGCTGTTGGAATCAGTTGACTTAAAGTGCAAGTTGGTTGATTTTGGGAATGCATGTTGGACATATAAACAGTTCACAAGTGATATTCAGACAAGACAATACCGGTGTCCAGAGGTGATCCTGGGATCTAAATACTCTACATCAGCAGATCTTTGGTCCTTTGCTTGCATTTGTTTTGAGCTTGCAACAGGTGACGTGCTTTTTGATCCCCACAGTGGTGACAATTTTGACAGAGATGAGGTATGCTTCTTTTCTTTTTCTATCTAGGATCATAGAGTATCTAAATTACTCACTAAATAACCTTGTGGAGTGGACCAGTGGTCCTTTAGTGACAATTTAGAGATGTCATGCAATGTTTTGCATTTGCCCAAGTTGGGGACAAAATGTGAAAATGAATTGTTAGTATGAACTGCAATAAGAAAAATTTTCTTAAACATTTATTTATTGAAGTAGGTTTGCAGGATCTGATCATATTAGGATTGGCGGGGATGGAAGGGTTATAGATGTGTGCATGTGGAATCTTTTGTCCAGAGATTTCAGTTTTCTCGTCAAGACGCTCTCTTTTTCTTTTTCATCTCCATGGAAAAAGCAGATGATAAAATCAAATCATTAAATATTAAGAAGCATAGAGTTTGGACTGCCAGGTTTTTCTTCAGAATGTTGGAAAATGAGCCCTTTTATCTTGTAGTTGAATCATAGTAAGCCCGTGGATCTCTCAGTTGTTCCTACCAGAAATAAGGTTTAGGTGCAAATTTGGAAAATGCATAAAAAATTTCTATGTTTGCAGGCTTTTTGGACCAGGTCCATATCATAGTAGTCATGAGAAGAGGAATACATGGATTTTCTGGAAATTCAGAAGATAGAATTGCTTGTTTGGTTGCTAGATCTCTAAAGATTTTTTGGTTAGTGTGAAAAATGTCATTCTGAACATGATTTCTTTGCACCTAGGTTTAAGGCTGAAGTGTGCTTTTCTTTTCCACATTTGAACTCGTTACTCAACATGATTTGGCAGCCTGCGACTTATATTTCATCAATATCTAATGTATGTTAAATTAAGTCATCAAAATGACCTCAAGTTATGTGATCAACTTTTAGTAATTGAATAGCTATAACTGATATGTTTACTCTATTGAAGAACATAAGTATTTTCCTGCTGTAAACAAACAGCCTTTTACATTATAGAACTGTTTTCTTTTGTAGCTGTTTAATCTATTAAAGAGTTTAAGGGCCTGTTTGGTGTGGCTTGTGAGAGTTTTTGCTTTTTGAGTACTGTTATGTGTGATCAGTTTAAATTTTTATTGGAGGTAAAATTTAAAAGTTGCTTTTAGAGATAGGAAAAAGTGAGTGAAAAGTGAGTAAAAAGGTAGCTTATGGAAAGTTTGGATTTGAAGCTTTTCAGCTTTTATTGTTTGAGGTCTTTTTAAGGTTAAAAAAAAGTTTAAAAATGTAAATTTTTAAGAGGGAAATTTAAACTTATGAAGCATGGATAGTATCAAAGAGATGAAGCTCCTAGGAGCTCCACCAAACAGGCCCTAAATGTTTTCCTGCTGCTGTATGATCAAGCTTTCGGGCCTATTAAAATCTGGGTTTGACTCTCAGTACAGAACTGATGTTGAGGATTTTATCATTTTGGGTTTAATCTAGTTGTAAACTGAGTACACCAGTAAGTTTCTTTTATGCCACTGATAAAGAAGAGTTGAATTCAAGAAGAATGATTTATTTTCCTTGTGTGTCCAATTTTTCTAAGGGAAATGATTTATTTTCCTTGTGTGTCCAATTTTTCTAAGGGTGCTTTTGAGAAAAATCAACTTGTGTGAATAAAAAGCATGTGAACTCAAACATTTTCTGAAAGTTTTGAGTACCATATATAGAGTTCACTACAATAAACTGTATACATATGATAACCTCAAGCATTTATGTACCCATTTTTCTATATGTTCAGGACCACCTAGCATTGATGATGGAACTTCTAGGCATGATGCCCCGCAAGGTGAGAAAATCCTCATTTCCACCTCTTTAAGAAGTTCACTTTGTAAAAGACCTGCATTTATGTTATGCTGGCAATTGTTCTCAGATTGCCCTGGGTGGTCGCTATTCTCGAGACTTCTTTAATCGTTATGGTGATCTGAGGCACATCCGCAGGTTGCGATTCTGGTCCTTGAAGAAGGTCCTCATTGAGAAGTATGAATTAAGTGAACAAGTTGCAAATGACATGACCAACTTCCTGGTTCCCATACTTGATTTTGTCCCTGAGAAGCGTCCCACTGCTGCTCAGTGTCTTCTTCATCCATGGATGAATCCTGGTCCTCGACTATTAGAGCCATCAATATGTTCTTCTCAAAGCCAAGGTCCAGACAATTTTTCTGAAGAAAAGAAGACAGAGATGGATGAGATGGAAGCAGTGGAGGTTGGAATAGGGAATATTGCCATCAGTGCAGATTCTAAACAGGTCAAAGATGCCCAGCCTACTTCAAAATTATCCAAGGCAGCAAGCAGCTCGTCTAGGTAGGATCCCCAAGCATGCCTACAGCTACAGAATTCTTCACTCCAATGGCTTTTACAACTCCCTCAAGAAAAATGATTACTTCTTATTATCTGTATTTGCTTTCTGGATGGGCGTTGGGAGGGACACTATTTGATTCTCGTACAGGTTAAGCCCTGGTAAGAGTGATAAAATCCGAAGGAGAGGTTCCGATATTACTGCAAACAGCTCCCCTTTCGAACATGGCTGATAAGTATACTCCGTTTTATTGTATACCGCAGGTCAAAAGATGGCCTTTCTTTGTGTAAAAATTGTTTAATTTTATGTGATTCGTGTACTGTACTGGATAGCATTCTTCATGTTGGAACTATCAGTACATTATTAAAATTATACACATTCTTTACAGAGAATTTTAGTGACGTATCTTTTTACGCTTCAAATTATTTGTCTTGCATTCTTCATGTTGGAACTATCAGTACATTATTAAAATTATACACATTCTTTACAGAGATTTTTAGTGACGTATCTTCTTACCCTTCAAATTATTTGTGTTGCTGCCTCACATGAGTAATGCCGTATTGATAATCCCAACAAAGTGAAGGCTCTCACTTGGTTGTAGTTTGAGCTTCCCTGAATGTTCTAGGATAATCATTAATGTTTCGATAGTAGGAATACGGAATTCGAAAATAAAATTAACACAGTAGGTCAATTGTTGTGCATTCACATAAAATGGTGGTGGAAAATACCATATATGGGGCATGTGTTGTGTTTAGGTAGTTTTTGGCAGTTTCAAAAATAAAACTTTTACTAACGACTTGTTAATCTGAGTGGAAGAAATTTGATTTTTATTAGATAAGATTTCAAGTTTAAATCTTGTGAGTGAAAAAACAAGCGTTGCGAGAACTTTCCTCATATGGGATTTAACTCGGCTCGACTCTGAATTAATTAAAGTTTAATGTGATTTCTGAATACTGAAAAATTAATAATAATAAAAAAAAAAACAAATCATCTAGTCCGTATGGCATGTCCAAACAAGTTTGAGAACAAAACAAATTCAGGTTGAAGTCTTTGCCTCTTAATTTAGGAATGATATAGTTGCAATGAAATATAAGATTTTAAATTTATAACTACAATATATTATTAAATAAATAAATACATGTAATACCATGAGTGAGCTTTTAAATGAAAAAAATTAATTATATATGATGTTATAGTTATTATAAACTTATAATATCATATGAAAATAATCTATTTTATTCCTTTAACTCTTAAAAAAAATTAGAATCTCAACATTATTTTATATAATTAAAACCAAATTTTAAATTTGAAAATTTACTTTATTAAATGTTAATATATGAATTTAAAAAC